CACTGCAGGTAGTCCTCACTCTCACTGCAGGTAGTCCTCTCTCTCACACTGCAGGCCTTACCTTAACACAACACATTTGAGTATGTCTTAAACTCTTACCTAGTGCACACCAGTGGAAGGTTGCAGCGCTTTGTTACCTCTGCAGCACTGTTTAGTACAAGTCCATGTGATCCCCGCTGTTCCCTCCAGGCCTCTGCCTTTGAAAGCCCCAGGAAGGACAAACGAACTCAGAGAAAGTGGCGGAACAAGAGTTACGGCAAAGACACTAAGACAACCTTGCAGGTACGCGGGACTGGTGGCTGGGCTGGCTTTCTCCTTGGCGAAGTACAGTTTCTAGATGCCCGTTTTTATTTTGTGCTCTGAGCTCCACGGACCTCTGCTGTCTCCGCGACAGGTTCCGGGCTGCGTGTCCTCGGGCTCCATCAGGCTGCATGCCTCCAACCCCAACCTGTCCACCGCGGAGGACAACGGCAAGGGCTACCCCGAGACGCCAGACTCGCCCGCCGAGGCGTCCCGGCTGCAGGAGGAGTTCTGCCGCGTGGCCAGCAGCTGTAAGGAGACCCAGCGGGAGATTTGTCATCCAGCAAAGCGCAGCTCTGTAAAGCAGAGTCCTGCTGGTTCAGTTATCATGCTCAGAGCAGATTTCTTCATTTGTTTTCCTTTGTTTGGGTTCACTGCCTGCTCCACCGTGAAGGACTTGGAGAGGCCAGGTCACTGAGATGGGCGCTCAGGCCTGTGGACTCAGTGTTTATCTTGGAAATGCTGTGGAATAAAAACAGCTCTCTTTACGAACGCAGTGCTGGTGTTCAGCTTCTTAAACAAACCCCCTCTGCTGGGTGAAATCTATCAATCTCTCTTAAATCCATATGTACATATGTTTCACTCAGAAATCCCAACCCAGCCCAGCTCTGACTAATACTGACCTGCCTCTCAGTATTACTCAGCACCCCTGTCTCTTAACTGCTCATTTTTCCTGGTGCCAAAAATTGACTTGCTATAAAATTAAATACAACAGTTCTTTAAATACAGGGTTTACAGCAGGTGTGAAAGATAACATAAACAACGTCTTTTCAATAAGCAGTTACCATGTAAACATGTTCAGGCCTTCTAGAGCTGATCTGAGCAGGACTGTCCGAGTTGTTCAGGGTCTGTTCTGACAGACCTGGTGCACCACTGGGGGCTGAGTGTGTGCTCCTTCAGGACGAGACTCTGCCAGGGCCAGGAGTGCCTGCGTGCTTGAAATTAAACATGAAGGTTCCTTCTCACTCCCTTTAGAGTTGCCTGCTTGACAAGTGTGCAAACGTAATTTACATTTTATCTGTGTCCTTACAATGAATGATTCAGTTTTTTAGAAGATCCTTAAATGTGTAGAGTACATGATCTTCAGGAAGGTGATATGACTTTGAATGAGACTGTATATGTGCCTCGTCTTGCTGTCCTGCTCTCTTACTCTCCCTGTCTCTGGGGAATAAACCTTGTGTTTGTATTTGTATAAAAAATGTATAATAAAGATATCATTATATTCAGAAGAAATGCTAATGATTTTAGTGAAAATCTAGGTGTAAAGTTGAAATTGGTTGTGAACCACCAGAACATTTAGTACTTCTGGTCTGAGCTGTACATTAAAAGAACAGATTTTATTCTGTATGTGCTATTGTGTGAAAAAGATGACTGATACTTATTATAAATCATTTTTTTGCTTGCAACTTCCCATGTTTCAGTGTGACCTCTACCCTTAGTCTGGATTCTGTCCCTCATGGCCGGGCCCTGTCTGTTGTCTCTGCAGTGCACTCGTCTTTGAAAACAGCCTTTAACGTGTTGTCTTCAGAGAGAGAGAAGTTCAGACAGATGCTGGATCACGAAGCAGTCCAGCCACCTCCTGCCCAGATGCTCGGTCTAAAGAATGCCCTGGCTACTGTGAGTCACAGCTTACGTTCTATCAGTGCTTCCTTATTTCTGATGAGCAGAAATGTTTCCGTAGCTAAACCTGAATCTTTCCACAGTGCCCATTTCTATCAGATACCTGCTGGCAGGTCTGTGTTCAGAAAGAGACCAAGTCATTGGTTTGGCAAAGGAGATGTAACTGTGATGATAAACCACAGTCTGAGTCTGTCCTCTCTGGTAACCTGTTCAATCCCCACAGTTTCACGAGCTCTCAGTCGACACATTACAGCTCCTGCGCTCTTATTGAAGGCTGTGTTTTAATGCAGTCTTCCAAATGCTTGTATTCACTCTGGACAGCCTTTGGAAATGAAATGGAAGGCAGGGCAGAATCCCACTCAAGAAAATGTGATAAAACTGCCGGTGAGAACGAATGTGTGTCTTTGGCCTCATGCTTCTTGTTTAGAGGACGTTCATTCTGTGAGCACAGAAATACTGAGCCTGGAGTAGAGAGCGTGGACTGGGTTCAGCAGCAATAATACTCACTCACATTGTGCTCTTTTCATGAGGGTCTTCAAGCAATTCATTGTCATCTGTTGTAAACAGCCTGCAGCAGGTGCAGCAGAGCCATCCCTGGAGTAAAGTGTATCTCTCTCCCCGATTGGGTCAGAGCTCGGTAGTTGTAGTGGAAAATATGATGCAATAGTACAAAGTGGTTCCCCTTAGATTTATTGGAGTTGTGTATGGTAGCTTTTCCTAATTACTAGGGCTGTCCTGCATGTGGTTCCCAGAATGCTTTGGGCAGAAGCTGCCAGGCCCCATGGCACTGATTCAGGATGGGCTGGTGGAGTCAGGTAGCAGCCCTGTCACAGCCTTTGTTCCCGGAGAGTCTGAACTCCCCGCACTGCTCCGGGGGCAGATGTGCTTTCAACCTGCCGTAGCCACTCCGTTCCAACATCACATCCCGAGCTGGAAGTGGAAATGCGACAGGGAATGGAGCAGCCAGCATTGCCTTCGCGTTGGATCACTGCCACGCCAGAATGAAATATTAGTCCTCCACAGATGGCAGGTTCATTCAATATTTAAAACACTGAAAGCTGCCCTTTTAATACAGCGAGGCTTTAGCGTTGCCAGGTATCTCTGCCTTGCAGAGGGGCTGAGGAGCAGCTGGTATCTGAGTGAGTGCTGAGTGCACTGTAGGAGCACAGAGGGAGGCTGCCTGTCTGACTCACCAGCCTGCCCTCCTGTCTCCCTGCCCTCCTGCCCCCCTGCCCTCCTGTCTCCCCGACCACCTGCCCTCCTGCACACCCACCCTCCAGAACAGCTATGTTTAATAAAGGGACTAATGTTATTCACAGATTAAAGTTAGCTTTATTTTATTGTTATCGATTATTCTGGTAATTTAAGTTAAAAATATTTTCTCTTTCAAGATAAGATTGAGGTAATCAATACTGGTTGCCATGATGCCAGACATTACTGTAAATGAAAGCAATCAAGGGGATACTGTAAGCATCCTGTACTGAATTTATGTTTATTTCAGTAACCGTTGAGCTATTCAGGGAATCGTATAACTTAAGATAATTTATACAATAGTTCTGGGCTCATGCAGTATTTTTAAATCTGCTAAGAAGCAGGATTTGATGAATTCTTAATCAGGGCAGTTGTTGTTATCCAGTAACGAGGGCACAGTCTATTTTGGCATTCGTGAGGTGTGTGTGCTGTTTCGCCTGGCCGACTCTCCTCCTGTCTCAGGTGCTCACACTGGCGCAGGCTGGCGAGGTGCACAGCGCAGCCCCACGCTGGCATGCAGGTGTCAAGGAGAGGCTCTGAAGCCCACACAGCGCACTGTCCGCATGCAGCAGGGGCTCACTGCGGGGGGCTGCCCTTGAGCTGACCTGCTCTGCTCTAGATGGGAGTTTCTGATTGGTTCAGTATCACACACACATGAACACTTCTCAGTGTTAAAGCCTGTGTGGTCTGTCAGGTGGGTGGAGTTTGCATCACTGAGGAATAAAATACCATACAGCTGCTGGAGTTATTTGTAATTATTTGTTGCTATTTAGGGTGATGTTTGCTTTCAGATTCTTTGAATGTAAAGAGCTTTTTTTCTGCTGAACATTCATTTGCTAGGCCAGAGTTCCTTTGCAGAAATGAATCTGATCTCCATCTGGAGGTGGGTGTTCCTTAAAATATCCCATGCAATGTCTTCTGTCACTTAATGGTATTTTTAACATTTTTAATGGTCCTTCCTTCTGTGCATCACAAAGCAGAAGACTGTGTACCCAAAGCCCGAAGAGACTATTTGCTTTATATTTTAGGTTTTTAGAAAAAAAATATTTATAGAATCATGGGCTATGCCAACAAGATGCTGATCACTGTATTTCAGTTTGGAGACTCTTGTTAGCAATTGTTTATTTACCTAGTATTTGAGACAGAATATTTCACTTTATTATCAGAGCGCTGCTGCTGCTGCTCTGATTTTGGGCTGTATTCCTACCCTTTACGTGTTCAGAAGAGTATCTTTATTTAATTCAATTTCACACACCAGTGGATGCCAGTCAAATATCTTCGCTTTACAGCGGGACTCATCATAGTCAAAAACCTGAAATGGAACAGAGGTTGTGACACCATTTATATAAAAAAAAGCCAGCAGAGACTTTTATGCTGTGGGAGCTCAGCTGTTTTAAGGTACTGTAGATCAGTCTATTTTAACACTTCTCTGCAAGTCATTTGTTAACATACTGTCTTGCTAGTTGATTTGGCAACATCAGCACTGGTAATTATGTTTGGGGAAAATTAGAGAAATTAAGAAGCAAAATAATTGGACCAAATCAATTGAAATATCTCCTATAAACAAAGGGTAGTAAAGAAGGCCAAGAGCATCATGGAGTGTGTGTGTCTCACCCCTCCTTTGTGAATTTACAATACTCCCAGACAATTTTCAATCTGTTCTTTCATTCTGACGTTCACCACAGCAGGTGACGCCACACCGCTTTGCCATCAGTGAAGCCATGTCAGAGAGAGCCTGCCTCGTGCTTAAGGAATGACAAAACATGTCAAAAAGCTTCACTCACCTCCTGCCAGGGGGAGGAAGACACCTCTGTGGCCCACAGTCTGCACAGTGCTGTCGTGTCTCGCTGGCTTGTAAACCGGAATCACAGGGGCTGTAACTGTGGCGGGGAAAAGCCTGAAAATAGAAAACTATGAAATTAAAATATGGGGGGGGGGGGCGTCTACTCAGATTTACCACATCTGCCCTGGGAGCTGCGTGACAGAAGCTAGACAGGCCTCACCAGGAAACTGACAAACTGAGCACCATTCTCTCTGCTTTCTTTGGTATGTCGGCGTTTCCTGAAGGGTAACCAGAGGAAGTGCTCTTTTTCTTTTTCTCTTTTATTACCTTTCAGTTCCCATGTTACCCTCCGAGAAGCCCCTGGCTCCGTTGTTGTTTTCGGAGTGATGCAGGAGCGCTTTTCTGTGTGTATTTTGAAGGGTTACCTACATGTTACCTACAGTGTTTTCAGGTTCATGATTTAATTAATTAATTTTGCATTGATTGAGGGCAAACGTTCCACTCACCCCTGCTTGTCGCCTGATGGCAATTAAAAGCCACACTGACTCAGGTATGGAGAACCCCTGCGTCCGTTCACACAGAGCAGAAAGCAGGTGAGACCGCGCTGCCTGGCCCCTCTGCCAGGCGCACTCAGTGATCTCAGATCGGTGTGTCATCGCGTGCGTTCGTGTCCCTCTGCACTTAGGCTTTTCTTCTCACTGCTGTCTGCATGTCATAAAATGAGTGTATGAGATTTAGATGAGCTTAATGTTTAAAAAAAGTATTTGTCGTTGGACATACGGAGGATGGGGGATGGGTTCCCATACTTGCTGAACAGATCCCATCCTTGGAGCAGTGAACTGTGGCTTTGAGCTGACAGCTGAGGAAAACGAATTCTCCTCACTGCAAAACGAGGTGCTGAACAGGTTCCACACAGCTGCAGACGCTAACTGGCTTACTAATGCTCTGGAGGCCAGATAAGGCACTAAACCCCTGTCCTAGTGCTCTGTGGGAGGTGCAGCTGTTACACAGTCTTTAACAGTCTTCAGGTCTGTGACTCAGTTTCCACTCGGTCTTGTCCACATCTGTTGTGACCCAAGACACAAGCATTGAACCTCCAAGCCCACCAGACCTATGCTGGCAGTAACACAAGGAATAAGTGCTGCACCTTTTGCAGAAATGACACACAGGATGCCACGCAGCCCTTTGATTTCACAGCTTGTGTTGCTAATTGTGCTGTGGCTGTGTTGCAGTTCAGTAGTGGTTTCTCAAGTGTGCAGAAAGTATTTGTGATTCAACAAGATATTGAATCACTTCTTCCAATTTCTGAGAGAGAGTGGGTTGCTTGCTTTTTTCTTTTAGAGGGAAAACACGTCCACCCCAGCTTTGTCAGACAGTGGTGTATGGTGATGTCATTGCAGGATATCGCTGTTGTGAATCATCGTTACTCCTTTCAGCCCAAACCAGCCCAGTACAGAGAGCTGAGAGTCCAGGATAACAGACCTGCCACTGGACCAGATGGGGATTCTGGCTCTGGTCCTGTATCGGCTGGAGTGGCAGGGAAACTCTCGGTTTACTGTCAGATGGTCTCGCGTGGTCTTGTGTTTGCTCTGAGCCAGTGTCTGCACACTGTCACTCCAGTGACAGTGACGTCTCTTCAGTGACATCTGACAAGAACAGTTTCAGCCACCCCCTCCCCTTAAAGATAAATGAATTACTCTGAACCCCCAGCGCTAGGCAGCAATCCTGATGTCCAGACAGGGTCCGCAGACTGCAGCCTCCTTGGGAAGACTCGATAAGTATTATCATAGCAGAATACAGGATTTCAGAATTTTGTTTTTTAACGAAAGAGGCTTTTAAATCTTTCATTCTCCAGGCCCACCTGCTTGTTTTGCCATCTTTGATCATAGATTTCGGAAATGGTTTGTGTGATTTGTTTTTTTTATATGCCTTTAAGTTTTTGTGTGACACGTTGTGGTCAGATGCACTCAGATTCGTTTCGTCCCGTACCGTATGTTCCCTGATGGAAGAGAGCACAATCTAGAGGTACAAGGCCTTCGATGCCTGATTAACTGAGGCCTCTGCTACAGCCCAGGAATAAAGTAGGTTTGAACATCTGTCCATCATAAACTATATCTAAACACAGATGACTGTAATAGATTAAAATTGTGAAGTTTGTCAGTGTGCTGAATAGTGTACAAAACTATACCAGGCTCAGTCCCTGCGTTCCACAATTTTGACTTGCTAATAGATTTTTCTCCTTCTGATTCAAACCTCAATGCCAAAAATATTAGTTCAAACCTTAGATAAAAAATACAGAATGCGCTGTAAAACAATGTGTGCTTTTCCCTGCTGTTTTAACACTTTTGGATTTCCCTGTGTTGTTTCAGCTTGACACAGAAGTGTTGGTGACCTGTATCTTAACTTAATCATTCAGTTCAAGCACTCTTCTTGCTACCTTTTATTTCATGAGAGAGTGGTGAAATGGATTTGGAAGCATCACAGAAAATCAATTTCAGTTTAAGTGTGGTTTCTTTAAAAAGTCATTAAAGAGTGAATACTGTAGGCCTCTTCCAGTTATCAGTCTCCAGGTATTAAGACCTATCACTGTTCAATAAGGATTTTATCTTGTTGTGCTGATTAACGTTTCTCATACAATAGAGGGTTATTAGAATGTTTGATCTCCACTGTGAAAGAGATACATACTTTATGTGACTCCTGCTTTGCACCAGGAGTAGGATACTGTCCTGTGGGACTCGTGCCCCAGTGTCTGTTTGCTGGTCTAGGACATCTGGTCCTAGATATCTCAGTTTATCCCTCCCTGCTGGTCCCACAGATGTTCACTGGGGTTGAAGTGGGCGAGTACAGTTTCCATGGTGTAGCTGCCACCTTCCCTCATGAACCCGGCTGTCACAGGCGCAGCCTGAGCCTGTGTTGTGCTGCTGGGCTGTTGATCCTGCAGACAGGGCAGCCTGTGAGTCCCGGGACCTGAGCAGTGTAGCTGTGCAGCCAGGCTGCCCTCGGTCATACAGGCGGAGCGCTCTGGAGGCTGGAGCAGCACACCTGGGGCTCCCATTGCTCTTCACGAGGGGTGTGGGCTCACGGCCTCTCAGATCATGGCCTGTCCTTAATAGACAGCGTGATTTTAAGATTTTGTGATGTTGGAAATTAATAGTCAGACATTGTCCGGACTTAGTTCACTCTCCAGCATAGCTGCAGCACACTGGTGTTGTTCACTTGAGTATCAGGGCAATATCTGACATTCCACATGTTAAATCACCCCATCGCCTCTGTCACTAATGAGGTGATTAGTGCTTACGCAATGCAAGTCACTGAGTGCAGCCTGCTCAATCATGAATGATCAAATAATCAAAAGGATATGAAAAGGTTTCCAAAATACTTCTGAAGAATAAATATGCATGAAGTGAAAAATTCCTTTTGATGCTTCATATACTTTGCTTATTTCATGTGACTAGAATTTCTCCAAATATTTTGCTAAGCTAGAAGTCAGCTGTGTTCAAACCCACAAGATCAGCTTGAAGACTCTATGCAGAACAGGAGAACAATACTCTTATCTTTGCAAAACGTTGGTGCTTAATCCTTCTTCAACAATATTTCTCAGATTTAAAGCACATTCCCTTTTATATCACTCCAGGGTTCACTGAAAATGTGTGGCGATGACATTACTTTGTCCTCCTTTTTGCATGGAGTTGCGTGACTGGACATGTGTTGTTGCCCTTCAGAAGCAGGACTCGACGGATGGCAGCCGGCCCCTGGTCCACCAGGCGTCCAACGAGAGCCGCACCTCTGTGACGGACTCGCTGTCCGAGTTCTTTGACGCTCAGGAAGTGCTGCTGTCCTCCAGCTCCTCGGAGAACGAGGTGAGGGAGGCTGGAGCGCCTCGTGTTGTGTGTTTGTAGGTTTGTAGTGATGAGAGAAGCTCAGGTTGAGCAAATGTGTTTGATGTCATTTTAGCTATTCAGCCCAGAGACTCTGCATGTCAACCGCCCTTCCAGCCTGAGCTTTTGTGAAGCAGTAGAGCAGAAATGCCTCAGAGCTAAACAAAATGCAATCCCCCCGTCCACAGTTGTACACTAGAAGTGAAAGAGAGAGCGGTTGTGAAAGAGAGTGAGAAACAGATTGTGCTCAGTTCACTGTTGTTTTCAAGTTCAGAAAAGGGGCTGGAGGGAATCCGCTGAGCTGAAGCAATGATGTCATTTTTTGTTGGATTCAAATTCGTGAAGAAATTGCCATAATACTGATTCACTTTAGATTTAAAACTAGAAGAGCAGAATCAGTCGCAAGAAGACAGCAGTCCTGCAGTGTCCTGGCCCAGTCCTGGCTGTTCACTGGGTCCCAGTTTATACCCGTCGGTTCGGGCTGTGACGAATGAAGTCAGAACAGCCACCTTAAAAATTCAGACCACAGGTCTCAGGCCTTCTGCTGTAGCATCTCCATGCTCATACATGCTTTGAAGGTGGATTTTGAGTGATGCTCAGCTGAAAGGTGTATTTTATCTGTCACAGAAAGGATGCTGTGCACTCATTGACAGCCTGATATAGTAATAATTTGCTAATAACACATCTTGTCTTCCTCTTCCAGGCCTCTGACGATGACTCATACATCAGTGACATAAGTGACAACATCTCAGTGGACAACTATAGCAACGAGGCTGAAAACGAAAAACAAAACTCAAGTAAAAAGCAAATGGCTTCCTTTTGATCTACAGGATTATGAATCCTTAATGAGTGAGCTAAGGAAAGAGAAAGTGGAGTTCTCAAGGGGATGAAAAGAGTTTGGGCTTTAATCAGGAACAAAGAGTGCTCAGTTTGTGTTCAACACTGTCAAATGCTCAGCCTTCTGGAATGAAAACTGACGACTTTTGAAAGCTACTTCTCAGTGTTTTCTTTGCCCACAGAAGTGACAGATTCTGATTAATTTTTTAGGTTCGTGGTGAAAAGTTTCGCTTATGTAGAGTGAAGACAGAATAGCCATGAAAGTCCCAGACCACATGCAGTTCCGTCAGATGTGTGCATGTGTGAGGAAGGACCGTGTCGATCAGCGTTTCTTGGCTCGCTGTTCCACTCCTGCTTCCTGTCACTAATCTTTGACCCAGTCTCAGCTGGGAAGATATCTGTGTTGGAAAAAGCATGGCATTAACTTTTAAGACGGGCAGAAGTGAAAGATCAGAATGCGGAACTGTTTCCGAGTGCAGATTACAAAACCACAGGTGTGTCAGATCCCCAAGCAGGAGCTACACTGATGCCACAAGATCCGCATGGGCTCCAAAACTCCTCCAGAGCTTCTGAACTGCAGTCCGCACACCCAGAGCAGGGTAGCTCTTCACTTAGCCCATTGCAGAACAGCAATCCCATCCCATCCCATTCTCCACCTCTGCGTTTCTGTGCGCCAGAGGCAACGACAGAGTGCCGTTTCTAAACATAGAATCCTATGAACCATTTAATATTCAGTTAGTCTAAATAATGTGAGTACATAAATACTTGCACAAAATTATTCTTTTTGTGCTTGATGTTTTAGTTGAGCACGTTTATTACGCTGTCCAGGTGCACATGGACAGCCACTTGGCCTTCCAGAACGCTGACCTGTTCGTTACAGCGTGCCCTGCCAGAACTGTGGCTTTTTGTGCAAAGTGAACAACACGAGTGTGGTTTGAATGTTCAATTGCATTGCTGGAGAAAGCGAGAGGGCCGTGGAAGCGAATGGTGACCGATGTTAATGTGCTCCTCGTGCTCGGGCTGGTTTTTCTCCCCGGGGTGAGAGCAGGTCTGACCGCGGTGCTCTGTGGTACCCTCCTCCAGGCTGTGCTCAGAACGGACCGGCCCCGCTGGCGAGGAGGACCTGCCTGCTGGCTCCGGGCCCCAATACCAGCAACATCAGCCTGTGGAACATCCTGAGGAACAACATCGGCAAGGACCTGTCCAAGGTGGCCATGCCAGTGCAGCTCAACGAGCCCCTGAACACGCTGCAGCGGCTCTGCGAGGAGCTGGAGTACAGCGAGCTGCTGGACAAGGCTGCTGAGACACAGGACCCCTTCGAGCGCATGGTGAGCTGGTCACCCTCTCCTCTCACTGAAGTCCATTTCAATTCCATTTCAATTCAAGATGCTTTACTGGCACGACCAATGAATAAATCAGTGTTGCCAAAGCAATACAAACACAATTAACAAAATCTCCAGACATTTTCAGAAATCTTACAATACAGACACATCTAAATACATTCACATGCAAATTATGTTCAGTTTGGGTGGCAAGGTGGTGTAACAGGAAGCACGACTGCCCCACAGCTGCAGGATTCTGCGTTATTGATCCAGGGAACTCACCCAGCCCTTTTCTGGTACCTCCCAGAGACATGCAGGTCACTGTGGATTAGACACAAGAGATCTCACACGGGAGGTGGAGCCACCTGGGCTCAACTGGACAAGTGGCCTTCTCTCGCATGTGGCCTTTCTGACACTAGTCCAGTCTAAGACATGTGTAGACGTCTTTTTTAAGTGGATCAACTGGAAAAGGGTAGGCATCGGCAGAAGGTGTCATTAAAAATGTATGTTCTTTAGACAAGCTTGACAGGTTTGTCTCCATTTTAATGGAAAGACATGAGATAATAATGACTTATTGTAGATAGTAGAGCATTTGTCTGGCAGGTGGCTGTAGGTCTCTGTGGGACTAGGGCTTTCTGCTGTTTTCTCAAGACCATGCTCAAGAGATATTTCAGTCCGGAAAAATTGGGTTGCTTATAGTCAGAGGTTGTCCCTGGGTATCTTATCGTACAAATCACGGTTTTAAAACGTAAATCCTGCAGTACCCAGTTTAAATTTTTTCCTGCATTTAAGGTTCATGAGTGAGCAGTGAACAATGACTGCTCTGGACATACAGACATTACTGTTTAGTACAAGCTGTACCCTAAAATGACATCTTCTGTAGTATCAAGCCTGACCCTTGAACAGCACATGCTTGAGAATAACCTGGATGTTTTGGCTCTTCACAGAGTCACAGGCCAGTAAAAACACTTGTACGTGCTGTAAATAATAGGTGATTTTGAAAATAATGATTTCTGAAATCATATTCACATATCTGTGGAATTCATATCGTGATGCATACAGTATGAGCCAGGGCAGTCAGTGTTATTGAGCTAAAGCCCTGTCATGTCTGGAGGTTTTGCGCTCTGTGTTGTCCTGGCACAGGACTTTGAAGGTGCTGTTTCAGGAGTCAGGCTCTCAGGGTGGTTGCAGCTCTTACTGAGCCAGAGTCTGCAGTGGGACTGGGGTCAGTCTTCAATCAGGCACAGCCTGTGCTCGCTGTAGAGGGGCCTCTGCTGAAATATCTTGATCTTTTTCTGTATACATGAATACATTTTAATGGAATGCAGTTTGTTGGATTCCTGCATATCTTTGAGAAACCTGAAGGTACAGAATTCATTGCAAAAGAGCTGTAGCTCAACCTTGAACCCAGACACCAGGGATCAGCACACAGACATATATCACCCAAAACACACACAGGCAGAGAGACACACACACACCACACACAGGCAGAGAGACAC